GAGTATCAACAACCATGCTACCTCGCATACCAGATATGTCCAGTTTCAACCTCTCAGCACAATCCAAGGAAATGAAAGAATGAGTTGCACCAGTATCAATAATTGCAACTAAAGGTGTGCCATGAATAAAACACGTACCTTTAATCAATCGATCCTCTGGAGTAGTCTCGGATCCAGACAAAGCGAACACTTTTCCACTTGACTGATCCTTCCTAGGCTTAGGACACTGCGGACGAATGTGACCTTCTTCGCCACAATTGTAACAAGTAACAGACTTCCCTTTGCAATCAATAGACAAATGACCAGCCTTTCCACATTTATAGCACTTCTTCTCATCACTCTTGCAATCTCGAATGTGATGACCAGACTCACCACACCTGTAGCATCTGATAGGAGCCTTAGAATCTCCCCCACTAGACCTTTTCCATCCACCTGATCTCGGGTTATCTCTACCATATGGCTTGCCACGGTCCATATGTTGCTTTCCTCTTTTGTCAACAGCCCCACGAGAGTGAGACGACCTATTCTTGGTAATATCTTCTTCCAAGATTCTGCTACAATCCACCAGATCAGAAAATCTACGAATACGCTGGTACCTGATTCCCTGCTTAATCTCATCTCGGAGACCATTCTCAAATTTGATACACTTAGAGAATTCTCCAGCCTCATCGTTGTTGTAGTGTGCATAATACTTTGCCAGCTCAGTGAACTTAGTAGCATACTCACTAACAGTCAGATTGCCCTGCTTAAGCTCCAAAAACTCAATTTCCTTTCTTCCCCGAACATCTTCAGGAAAGTACCTCCTCAGAAAAGCCCTTCTGAAGTTAGCCCAAGTCAGTGCCTCTCCATCCTGAACCATTTCAGTCCTTGTGGCAACCCACCAGTCGTCGGCCTCTTCTGCCAACATATGCGTACCATATCTGACTTTCAGATCTTCAGCACAATCGATCACACGGAAAATCCTTTCGATTTCCTTCAGCCACTTCTGAGCACCTTCGGGGTCATGTGTACCTTTGAACAACGGAGGATTGTTCCTCTGGAAATTTCCCAATTGCCTATCAGCACCAATCACGCCTCCAGTTGGGTTTCCAGCAAGTACACCAGCTAACATCCCCAAAGCCTCAGCGAGTGCAGCATCATTTCGTCCATTACCTCCAGCCATATTCCTGAGAATTAAAACATACTCCACATCAGAATACAGTATCGACAGTGTTGCCTTACACTAATCGCATACAAAAGGAATGACTGACTCAAGACTCTGGTCGCAACGACCGACTATGCTCTGATACCACTATTGTAACACCCTCTAAAAACCCCGAATAAATTTTCGCGATTAATTAAAATTATAAACTCAGAGTACATGTATCATCGAGGAATGCTACAATTCTCTTTTGATAAAATAAATTCCTGTCATGCATAATCTTAGTGGTAACTCATACATGTTTACACAGCGGAATAATTTATTTAATAAAATCAAATGTTATAATATTTTTCCAAAATCATCAGGGATTAACACCTGGAAAAGTCAACGTCATATTATAACAATTAAAAGAAAATAAACGAGTCTGACTAAAGCAGCTCGACAACCAAACGTTCCCGGAGTTACAACTATCAGAGCATGACCCGGACATACTAAAACGAAACTAAACTAGACACGATAAGCCTTCGCCAAGCACCTGAGCGAAGCTCCTCAATCTGAAATATTCAACAGTAAGGGTGAGCTTCTCAAATATACATTTGGTTATACATTCATAACAATCAATTCACGAAATCATAAGCATCACCCACTAATTAGCATATTTCATAGTCTACAAAACCTTTACAATTCATATATCCATGACATATTGCCTTTCATATTTGCAAATATTCATCAAACATCATCAACCATTTATTAAATCATACGTGCATACAAACAATCAAATATAACACTGGAAAAATCACCCATTCATGTTATATTCGAGTAATGCAACACACCCATGCATGTGGTACCACTTCACCGCCCCATTAAATCGCGGGTCACGGATAACTCACCGTTCCATTATATCGCGGACACGGCTACCACCTCAACGTTCCATTAAATCGCAGACACGTATATTGGCCACCATGTTAATTCCACACAATGGGAATTAACAAATGCAACAGGATATGTAAGTATGTAACACTCAGCATACTATGAACATCGATCAACATATCATGCACATCAACAATATCAAACATAACATGATATGAATAGCATGTAACCACTCAGCATACTATTTAAACATCAATCATATCAAGTTACGAATAGCATGTAATCACCCAGCATACTATTCAAACATCAACCAATCACATCAATTATATCATAATTCATGCTCGATAACATATCTAAAAGCATGGCAATAAAAATCCAACATCAAAACACTGAAACCAAAAATTCAGAAAATCATCACAGCAGAGCAACACGGGCACCCGTGTTGTGCAACACGGCCCGTGTTGTGCAGCACGTCCAGAAAAACGCACATTTTATTTTAATCAGTACAGGGGATCTGACACGGGTACCCGTGTTGTGCAACACGGCCCGTGTCGTGCAACCAGAAGCACAACACCTCCCAACACAGAAGAGCAACACGGGCACCCGTGTTGTGCAACACGGCCCGTGTTGCTGAGCGCGTACAGGATTTTCCTGAACCTGCAGCAGCTCAGAAACAGCAGTCCAAACGCGGGAAAACGTCCGCCAAAAACGCGTATTTCAGTACCTAACGCATCGAGTTTGTACAATTCACAACAACACCACAATATCCAAGTTACCAACAATTATTAGAATAACCTTAATCGGGGATTAACCGTCCTTTTGGGGAATTCTACTGACACTGAGGTTATCCCTACAACTTCCAAGGTAAATTCACGATCATGATATATACTCCCAATTCCTCATTTGGGACCTAAAACTCTTAATCGATTCATAAAAATTGGGAACCTAACCCTTTTCTAACAAGGTTCAGTCCTACGGTTATCGATCCCTAGAAACATCTAACAATTGGGATTTTCCTACAATTACCCGAATCAACCGTACATAAACCCATAAACAAATATAAATCGAGTATAAACCCCCCTTACCTTATCAATTAGCAGCTTTGAGTTCTTGGGCGGTGTTCTTCGTTCTCCGTTCCTCGTACCTTCAGAGCTCTATTTTCCCAAATTCCAACTTCTGTGTTAACGTGAATAATGAGAAGATGGCCTAAGTCCCAAACATAACTTTATTTCTCTGCACCCCCACTCTTTACTAACAACATCTAAGCCCAATAACATAAAAATCCCAATATTTCTTATTTCTTTTATTTTCCTCAAATACTCCAAAATAAATAATTCTTTTTATTTTATTAATTCTAATAAAATAAACTCCCAAATTTAAATAAATCAATTAATTGAAAACGGGGTGTTACATTATCTTTGTAAGACCAAACAAATGAATGTTAGCTGCACGCTGTTGACGGTAACATATTTGCATCCTTTATTATTTATGTACCATTTTCAAAACACTTGTTATACACTATTACTAATAATTTATATGTAGCATTTTCAAGCATGAATCCTCTATAACTTCCCACACGTCCCATGGATGACATCACCTTCTACTTTAGATGATTGACTTGTGGGTCACGTTTGATGCATCCACATATGTATTAGTGAGTCATGTGTCGGTTCGGGTATATGAAAGTTTTTCCAAGAGAACCTTCAGTGTCTTCTCTTACCACTATGCCCCATAAAGATGTAGATGTAATTTATGATAATTTCCTTAATAATTTGGTACAAACTGAAGAGCATGGTGTATAACTCATAGCGAATGAAATCGTGCATACGACTATGTCCAATGGTATTTCAGAGTGTCACATCCTTACATGACACAAGATGCTGAGGGAAACACTAGTCCAATTCATTAGAAGATATTATAGGAGGAACACGCCAGAGAAAATCATGTCGTTGATGTGTTGCATGCATGTCATCGTATTATGGATCCTGCACTAACGAATATAGACAAAGGAGATTTTCCAGAAGACACTTATAAAAGGCCTATTGTAGACACCATTTTTAGTAAGATACGGATGACATTGCAATACATGAGGCAACGAAAGAATATAAAGGTCTCACATATGCAATAATATAGTATTTGTATTAGGGGTTATGCATAATATTATCGTTTGTTACTTTGTTATTTTGATAATATTATGGATTCTGAATTGATTCTAATACATGTCATTTTCATCTTATTATATCAATGTATAGTTTAATTGATAAAAAAATTATTATTATAGTATAGTTAAAATACAAGTTTTTTTTACATACATGTATTTTTAAAAAAAGTCAAATTTTACTACTAAAAGGTGAATATGAAAGTATATATATTCATATTTTGATATGTAGATGCATCTTCAGACCAAATTATAATAAAATAAGGGTGTGACGCAATTATGAATATCTAGAATGCATGTGAAGTTATTAAGGAAATGCATCTCTAAATAAATCTTTATCAAAAAAGAGATGTATGACTCATTTCCACTAAAATGAGTGCATCTAAAATTTACTTTTAAATTCATAGTATTTTTTAATTTCTATAGAGTGTTTAGTAATTCCATAAAGCTAATACATAAAGGAAATGAGACCCATTTAATAAAATTTGTTTTCAATTTCAATTTATTTTGTATAGATTTTGAAATGGGCACATTTTTAGGTCAAAGCTTTCACTAAAATGCCAACGGGTATAGTGAAAAAAATATTCTAAAGAAACGGTGCGTTTTGCTTCGCTTTCCATTTCTTCCCACGACAGGATAGTGAATCCCTACTCCTAAACCCTAACACAACATCATAAACCTCCATTCCCGCCACACACAAGGGAACTCTATTGTTGCAGACTAAACCTAACCACCACACCTCACGGTGCTGTCACAAACCCCTCCTCCACTCACAACCGCCAGCGCCGTCACAAATCCCCCTCCATCCATAACCCTCAACAACCTCCAACAATGAACTTCAGATTCCAGAACCTTCTCGGAGCACCTTACAGAGGAGGCAACGCCGTCATCTCCAACAACACCCTTCTACTCTCACCCGTCGGTAACAGAGTCTCCGTCACCGACCTCCGCAAATCCGAAACCACAACACTCCCTATCCAAGCCTCCTCCAATATCTCCCGCATAGCCGTCTCCCCTGACGGCACCTTCCTCCTCGCTATCGACGACAACAACCGTTGCTTGTTCATCAACCTCCGCCGCCGCGCCTTACTCCACCGTATCACCTTCAAACACCGTGTTGGTGCTGTTAAATTTTCACCTGACGGAGGACTTATCGCTGTTGCTGCTGGGAAGCTTGTTCAGATCTGGAGATCACCTGCTTTTCGCAAAGAGTATTTTCCATTTGAGTTGGTTAAAACTTTTGCTGATTGCCATGCGAAAATCACTGCTTTTGATTGGAGTCCTGATTCCAAATACTTGCTTGTAGCGTCTAAGGATCTCACTGCGAGAATCTTGTGTTTGAAGAAGCTTAGCGGTGGTGATAAGTATAAACCTTTTTTGTTTTTAGGTCATAGGGATTCAGTTGTAGGTTCGTTTTTCGGTGTTGATTCTAAAACTAATAAGGTTTCTAAGGTTTATACAGTTGCTAGAGATTGTTATTTGTTAAGCTGGAGTTTTACTGGTGACGAGGATGAGGAATCCTCGGCGCCTCCATCGCCAGGGACACCGGATAGGGAATTGGATGGTGTTGTGAAGAAGAGGAAGGAACGTGAAACTGAGGATGGGGGTGGGTACTTATGTAGAGGTAAATGGGAATTGTTGAGGAAGGATTGTTTTAATCAGGCGCCAGCAAAGGTTTCGGCTTGCCATTATCATAGAGGATTAGATATGGTGGTTGTTGGATTTTCAAATGGTGTGTTTGCGTTGTATCAGATGCCGGATTTCGTGTGCATTCATATGATGTCCATATCTAAAGAGAAGATCACCACTGCTTTGTTTAATGACCTTGGAAATTGGATGTCCTTTGGCTGCGCCAAACTGGGTCAGCTTCTTGTGTGGGAGTGGCGGTCTGAGAGTTATATTTTGAAGCAGCAGGGTCATTACTTTGATGTCAATTGTGTGGCATATTCGTCGGACTCTCAACTTCTTGCTACTGGAGCAGATGATAATAAAGTGAAGGTATTCACTTTGCTGCTTGCATTGTAGTTTTCATCTTGTTTTGTATATTATATTGAACAAGTTGAAGATTGAATTCATGGGAAACTTTGCACTTATCTGCTACAGGTTTGGACTGTTTCCTCGGGCTTTTGCTTTGTTACGTTTTCTGAGCACACTAATGCTGTTACAGCTCTGCATTTTATGGCAAATAACAATAGCCTGCTCAGTGCATCTCTTGATGGGACTGTTCGTGCATGGGATTTAATACGTTATCGGAATTTTAGGACATTTACCACTCCTTCTTCAAGACAGTTTGTTTCTTTGGCAGCAGATCAAAGTGGTGAAGTGATATGTGCAGGCACTTCAGATTCATTTGAGGTGCCATTTCATAAACCTTAGGTTTGTTCCGATTATATCGATATTTCTTTATTTTTACCCTTTGTGGTTAATGATATGCACAACAGATTTTTGTTTGGTCGATGAGGACTGGGCGTTTGTTAGACGTGCTTAGTGGTCACGAAGCTCCTGTTCACGGGCTAACATTTTCTCCTACAAATGTGAGTTAGCTTGTCCTTCATTGTTATTCATCTTCATAATTGATGTCTTCTTATACTCTACAATGTTTATATGTGGCTTTATTTTCCTGTTGCTACAGTGTCTACTTATTAGAAATACAAAGTCTCTAGGAAGCCACAATGTAATATTTGTGATTTTATCAAATTGTTATATTTTCCAATTCTATGCCAATTCCTCATGGTACTATCAAATATGATGCTAGCAATTGTCTCAACTCAACTCTTGAGGCATGACAATAAACTAAATAGCTAAAGTTTATATTTTTTGTGGTTTTTTCAATGGCTAAAGATACTCAGTGGCCGTTAGCAATATTTTATATCCTTTCTGTTTGTGCAGGCCATTTTGGCTTCATCATCATGGGATAAGACTCTTCGGTTGTGGGATGTTTTTGACGGCAAAGGAGCAGTTGAAACATGGCATCACACCCATGATGTTCTGACAGTAGCTTATCGTCCAGATGGAAAACAGCTAGCTTGCAGTACATTGGATGGACAAATTCATTTTTGGGACCCAATAGATGGTGTGCTGATGTATTCAATTGAAGGTTCTAGAGACATTGCCGGAGGTCGTCTTATGACCGACCGTAGAACATCTGCTAACTCAAGTACAGGGAAGTGCTTCACAACCTTGTGTTATTCAGCTGACGGAAGTTACATATTAGCTGGAGGAAGTAGCAGATATGTCTGCATGTATGATGTTGCCGATCAGGTTGGTTTGCATGTATTTTATATTTCTATGCTTATCATGTTTAATTTTGCATATCTATAAATCTCAGCATATGAACTGTTAATTGAATCCCAAGAACTTTATTTTCTTGGGAGCTTCTTCTCTGTTGATTTACAACACATTTGCTATTTGGTTAAGGGGATGTTTTGGTAGACAACTTAATTAAGTGTTTATTCAACAAGAGCCTATCACATTAGAGTTTTGTTTATGTATATGGTTTTTCTATTCACTATTCAAGATAAAATTAAGGTGAACTCTTTAGGCCATTTTTAGTAGCCATAATAAGGATCTTATGAAAGTAAGCTTAAAACGTCTTACAAAACATACCATTAGCTATTTATTCAATCTCTTTGAAACACTTATAGAAGTGCTGCTTATGTCATAAGGTAAGTCCAAATAACCTCTTTCAAACACCTCCTGAATGGTTATGTTTATGAGAGATGGGCAGTTTGATAATTCACGAATATAATGCTATCATGAAACCTTATGCTTATGCTATATTCTACATCTTATTGATTGCAACGAATACGAAATATTGATTATTACTGTTTTTTTGTGTGTAGTAAATTTTCAGAATAATTGCTGCCTATTGCGGAAATTGAGGAGAAAATATATTACTCTGCAATTCTTAATTGTCGTATTGTGACAATGGGTGCCTACCCAAGTTCATATGAAGCTTTGTTGAGCTTCAGAACTATGCTTTTTGTCTAAACAGTTGAACTTCAAAATATGCAAGTTAGGTCACGTAGACCATGGTAGTCTAAATCACTTTTTTTTATTATTGTAAAAACACACGGTCTACCGTTTATGCTTGACCTCAACTATTAAGAGTACACTACACAATTAGATTTTGGTGAAATCAGGTGGAATCTCACTAGTTAATCAGAGTCACATGATCTGCGATTTCTGGGTGGGGTGCTGTGACAAGGGCCGCACGCTTGGGTTATATAAACCCCATTTCTGGCGTGTGTTGAGAAGACAGACTCCTTCCTATTCACGGCTCATAAAAAACCCAATTATGTTTGCGGATCCATTTTAAAAATAGGGTTTTTTGGGGTTAAAAATACGCGCTTCGTTTTTGGAAATTCTCAATCCACCCCATTCTTTTCTCAGGACCTCCCAAAAACCCCATTTTGACCCTCTGTCCAGAAGGATCCATCAAGACACACCTTGTCTCTGGAAGCATCCTTCCGGAGCGTATGTTTATATGTGATTAGATTTTCAAACCTTATTAAACACTCTCTCTCATATTTTCTTAAACCCTCACAGTAACCTTTACCTTTTATTCAATTATTGTGTTTGGTCACACAATCAATATGTTTTTTCGATACTATCAACCTCATCATTGTTCTAAAATGATTGCCTTCCATTATTACATCAGTTTATTTAGTAATGAGTGTTGCCCGAAGATAGTAAAATTTAGAAAGAATAAGATTTAAGTGTATGATGTGCAAATATAAGTATTAGGAGTGGAAAAACCGGCCCGCCTGCGGGGCACCTGTTTTGCCCGCATGTTTTTGTGTGCTGAACCAAGGTTTAAGACCCACACCCTCTACAATGCTTGCCCACCCTGTTTTTGGCGGGCTTTTGCAAGCACGAGCATTAACATGAATTTTTGCAACTTTTAGGCTTTAGGGGGTGTATGGTTTGTCGGGCCCCCCTTCAGCCCACCCTCATTTTTTCGTGTGGAAAGCCAAATTTTTAGGCCCACACCCTCTATTATGCTGCCCCATTTTTTGCGGGGCCGATCTAAACGGGACGAGCATGCTTGTTTGTCATTCCTAGGTATTATCAATCGCAGTTTTTATTTGACTCCAACTTGCAAGCTTGACTTCGTCATCTCATTTGAATTTTTGAAATGAATATAATGGATGGCCAAAATCTAATGCATGTAATTGTGAAAAGGATAGTTTAAGAATCTTTGTTGGAATTTCTGCCTTCGTTGCGGTCTGTCCCTAGTCGTCTAAATTGCAGCATTTGGACTGCCTTTGTTGCAGCCTCCATCACCTTCATCGTGTTGGGTTTGAAGGGGTGGATTTAGTCCCACATTGCTTGAATATATGACATGTGTTGTGTTTTTAAGTGGGGGCAATCCTTCCCTTACAAGCCGATTTTGTAAGGGTGAGTTAGGTCCAATCACGCATGCTAAGATGGTATCAGAGCCTATCAATCACTTGTTGGGCTTCCCGCATCCTCCATGCTTCAGCCTCATTAAGGCCTGAGTGTGAGGAGGTGGATTTAGTCCACCCCTAGTCGCCTAAATTGCGTCATTTGACTTGCCTTCGTCACAACCTCCAACACCTTCGTTGTGTTGGGTTTGAAGGGTTGGATTTAGTCTCTCATTGCTTAAATATATGGCCTTAAATATAAGACCAGTTGTGTTTATAAGTGAGGGCAATCCTCACCTTGCAAACCGATTTTGTAAGGTTGAGTTAGGCCCAACCTCACATTCTAAGAATCTTCAATGAAGATTTCCTGCATTGAGAAGTGTATTAGATTATAATTAGAATTTATATCATCCAGAACATTGTTCTTGCCCTCTATTATTTTAGGAATAGGCTTCCGGCCTGGGTATTATCTGTATCATCCAGAACATTGTTCTTGCCCTTGGTTTTATTTTAGGAGTAGGCTTCCGGCCTGGGTATTATCTATTTATACATCCTTTTGTTTTTTAATTAATTTAGTTTTTCTGGGTATTTGACAATTATTTTTTATTTAAGACCCTAAAGGTTTAGGAGAAGGTGGGCGTGTGTATATTGGTACGCTCCAGAAAGATGCTTCAAGACCAAACACGCCCGGAAGGATCCTTTCCGGTCATGGTCAAATTGTAAAAAATGAGCAATTTGAGAGGCTTGAAAAATGAATGGGGTCCATTGAGAATTTCCCCTTCATTTTTTTTGAACAAGCCTTTTGTTTTAAGATATATTTTAAAACACTAACTACTGGTGCATGATCTTTTCTCTTCTTCTATCTCTTGACCATTTCTTTACTCGTGCCTCTTCCTTTCTCTCTGCTTCTGCCCCGCCCTTCTCTCTTGCGAGTCACTCTCTGTTTCTGTTCTGTAGGATTAGGTGTCTAGGTGTCTTTGGTGTTTTTTAACTAGTTTTAGTTGTTTTGTTTGAAATTTGTGAAGTTGATTTTAATTTTGTATGACTTAATTTATTGACTTATGCTTATGAACTCTAATCTATTAATTTAATGTGCGATTTAAGATTTTCTTTATCTTGCATTACTTTATATGCACATATATGAATTTATATGAATATATGAATATACGAGTTTTATGAATTTTGTTTAATCTTACGATTTATATTTCGATTTACTTTCCCTTTCCAGTTTTAACCTCTTCCTCTGGGAACCCATTTAAGAAGAACATAGCTTCTATTTAGGAATCCACTTAGACCTCTTCTGCCTTATTGTTTGTGTATTGCCTTTTAAAATGGTCCTAACTTTTTTTATTTATCATGATTCACAGTACAGTTCTGTTTCTTAATCGGAATCTCTTTTGTTTAGGTTTTGCTGCGACGCTTTCAGATAACTCATAATCTTTCATTAGATGGTGTGCTTGACTTTTTAAACTCAAAGAATATGACCGAAGCCGGCCCTCTAGATTTGATTGATGATTATAACAGTGACATTGAAGAAGGTGTTGAAAGACAAACACGAGGGAACCTAGGGCAAAATATGCCAGGATCTGTTGCTAACCGCGGAAGACCTATTATTCAAACAAAATGCCTTAGACTTGCACCTACTGGGAGGAGTTTTGTAGCAGCAACGACCGAGGGAGTTTTATTTTATTCTGTTGATGAATCATTCATATTTGATCCAACTGACTTAGACATAGATGTAACGCCAGAGGTACTATTTTTTTTCAACAAGCTGTCAACTTTTTCACATATTTCTTCTTGAAAGACTGGGTTGGATTAATTCACTGTGAATAAAAGATTATTACAAAAATAATTTTCTGTGGAAAACAATGATTTGAAAATAAGTAAATAACAATGTGTTCCAGTTTTGATTGTAAGAAGAGATAGCATTTTCGCTCTCATAATAGTGTGGGTTCTACTATGCTATCAATATTTATATCTGTGATTCCACAAGAATATAATTCTTTAACTTCTCACCAAATTTTGATAAAAGGTAGAATTTCTGCAGATGTATAGCATTAATTTTCCTTTCTTACACCTAGCTATATTAAATGATATTGCTTCACTATTGTATCTTCTATTTTGATATCATTGGTAACATTGACTTGCATTATTCAACAGGCTGTTGATAAAGCGCTGGATGAAAATCAACCAAGTAGGGCATTAATCCTTAGCCTTCGCTTAAATGAAGACTCTTACATTAAAAAATGTATTTTTGCCGTTAGTCCAACAGATATTCCCGCAGTTGCCACATCAATCCCATGCAGTTATCTTCGGCGGTTAATTGAGGCACTTGCATCTCTTCTAGAAAATTGCCCACATTTGGAGTTCATACTTCGATGGTCTCAGGTATTCTTTAATTGCTTAAATAAAACAGAAAAAAGCATGTATAGAAAAACAAGGTTATGGTGTGTAAATGACGGTGATTGGTCCAATGGAGAAAACATGAGATTCTCTATTGGGAGAATCCATTCCTTATCACATCCAGTAGTTCTATTATTAATCTTTATCTTTGTTATGGCAGGAGCTCTGTAAAGTCCATGCAAATTCTATTCAGCAGAACTCTAGAAGTTTGCTCCCATCATTAAAATCATTGCAGAAGTCCATTACCAGTATACACCAGGATCTTGCCGATACATGCTCCTCCAATGAATATATGCTGCGATATTTATGCTCTTCTAGCCCAAGTAAATAATTGAAGGCAACAATTCACATGTTGGATTTAGTAAGCTTTGCTCAGAAAACTTAGTCCCCTTAGATTGTGTTATTTTAATATGGTAATGTTGAGCGCTATTACATTGGGAGCAAAACCAGGAATCAAAAAGCAAGATTTGTTATAGTTTGGCCTCATCGCAAAACTAACTTCATAGCATTCTTTAAAGGAATTTATCCTTGAATGCCAATTTTGTTCCTGGATGGCGTGGTGGCTTCTGTCAAGTTTGTTTCGTGGCCTAATTGCAACTCTCAACCGAGACAGTTCGGCTGTCACATACTCCCGTGACATTTTTTAAATGCATTGCTCTTTATAAGATTGCAGTGATTGAGGTTTCAGATGTCAAGTATCGCATTTTGAATCATATATGTTAGGAACTGTTTCATGAAAAATGTTATAAGATGATTTTAGAAATTTTGCCCAGGTGACATCTTGTTTTATTCAATCTTTGATCTTTTGATGTATAATTTTAAAAGTTCAATGTTAGAAAATTTTGATTGATACATGTGATTACTTTTGTTTCGCTATTTTCGATTTAATCATTGACTTAAATTTTCACTTTTATGCTTACACTATTTTTAATTTATCCATGACTTAATTTTTCACTTTTATGCTTTGATAGGAAAATGAATGAATGTTTTAAATAAATGAACTGAATTTGAAAGGGAAATGCAGTTTTTTTATTGTTTGGTAGGAAGGAATGAAAGTGAAAGAAAAGAAAAGAAATTTAGGATATTTTCTTCTCTTATAATTTGTTTTTTGAAATCTTGTATTTTATTCTCTTTTTATTTGATAGAGTAAAAAGAGAAATACATGGAGGACTGAAAGTTCTTGAAGGATGGTTTTTGGATACATGTAATAAAGGCATACTCTCTTGTTTCATATTATAAGTCAAATTTAGCTTTTTATATTTATTGAATAATTAATGAATTTGATTTATATAAATTAATTTTGTTAATTATTTAATGAATTTAAAAAGGTAAAATTTGTTATAATATGGTATAGAAGGTTTAAAGTAGTAAGGATTTATTTTTGTGTGATAACAAAATAAGATTTTTCTCTTTATTTTAAAACAACCATGTTTTCTAACAAAAATATCAAAATAACCATGTTATTTCATTAATTTTCAAAATATCTATGATTTAAACAAAAAAATTTAAAAGACAAACCAATTGAATTGATGTCTATTATAGATTAAATTAATCCAATTGGTGCTTATGTATTGATGTTAATAGGAGACATCAATTCATCCGACGGTTAAGTATTGTAATTTTTTTGTTTGTAAAATATCATATTTTAATAGCTATTATTTAGTATAATTAGAGGTGTATTTTGTATCATTTTTTCATACATTTTTGAGTAGTAAAAGATATTGACATGCTTGTTTTTTTTCGAGAACTAAGTCTGATGAAGATGCGTTTTTGGAACATCCAGAGTTTTCAGCATCTTGAGAGGAATTTGATCCTTTTGTTAGGCAAGGAGATTAATGATGATGAAAGAATTAGAAATATTGAGAGACTTGTATGGTACATGCATATGACAATGATGTTAGGGATATGATGTTTGTACTAGATGATATTGTTTTTATTGTATGCTCTTAGATATGTTAGATATGTTGTGGTGTTAAGTGTTTTTATTTGTGTTGTTGTTTTAGGCGTGTTTATGTTGTTTTCTTGTAATCAAAAGTCGTTAACTATATTAAATTTCAAAGTTACAAAACATTTAACAACATAATAAATCATCATCCAAAGCTTGTTTCAACATTCGGACAACGTTTCCGTGTGTGTCCGGGATGACGACATATACCACACTTTTTTTTCCAAATATGTCAGCCGTATCTATTTCGATTCTAATACGTATGCTGTTGAAGAGACCCTTTTTCTTACTTCTAAATATTTTCGCTATGCTGAATACACCCCTTTGATATGTAAACCAATATTTTTCTTTTACTATAATTGAGAAGTTATTGTTGTATACACCAAATATATTTACAACTTTGTAAATGGAGAATAAATGCAAGAAACCGTCTTGGCGAACACATGAACAATGCCATAATGACATGAGAGTAAGGTATATAAAAGTATTGAAATTTTCCGCTGTCGCACCAACTTCTACGTAGTTCGACCTGATAGTATTCATTTGACCTCCCCTCATTGTGGTCTATTGTCTTCTCTACATTGAAACCGTATCTATGACAATCAAATCTTGTAACCACATGCGTGCTAGCTTTGATAGTTTACTCCTTCATAACTTTCATGCAACTTTCACCGAATAATTAGCCTGATTGTAACACTAAACTCCATTTTTTGCCTCTGATTGGAAACACTGATCCCAACCTAAAATAGACTGCTCTCACCAATGTGATTATGGGTAGGTTCCCAATGCCTTTGAAGACATAGTTAATTAATTCTACAAAGTTTGTTGTCATGTGGCCCCATCTCCGACTCTTGTAACACCCCAATTCTACCCGACAATTAAATAAGCAAATAAGAGTTATAATCATTCATGCAAACGAATCAGGATGTCACAAATTCATCTTTAAAAACACATTGCATTCATCGTGGATACATAACACTTTTAAAATTTCGGATATCAACATAATAATTTAATCTCTTAATTCAACAACTTGAACATCTACGCAACAGAATCATAATAACATCTTTGTCCAACAATTACAACAACTTCAAAATAATGTGTAATTAGCAACCAACAAAATCAAAGTTCAACAACTTAAATAATCAATAACTAAAAGCAACAAGTGTGCATCCCCCCGAGTGTTACATATCAGAGCAATGACACCGACTCGAACTACTGAAGATATACACCTTCACTCTCGATTACCTGCACGTTACCAACATAAGGGTAACATTCAAACAAAAGGAGTGAGATATCTAACAATATAATAAAACGTATGATAATTAATATATTAAATTAGATCACATAATATCACCACTTCTCATCTTATAATCAACAATAATTGCAACGGAAAATACCATCAATACTACACATCCATCACATCAATTCACAATTTTATGCAATCATATAATGCGACTCAATACTATGCAAATGCATGTGGTACCATTGGAGCAGAACTTCCATCTTAAAAATCTGCCAATAAATAGAGGCATCAACAAGGCATAAGCCTTCATCTTAATATTTGCCAATACAAGCCATCTTTAACGAGCATAAGCTCCATCTTGAAATGCAATGTATGCGACACAATCATGAATGTAATGACAACACCATAATTAACAATATTTTAACACAACATCATCGTTAGTCATAAGCCCACATCTTTATAGTTGTCAATTATTAAAGGCATCTCGACATCTTTCATCAACATTGTGATACGGTGGGAGAACTAACTTGAGGTTTTGCGTTTGTATTCGCAAATGTTGCGGTTAGCAAGAGTCGCCACCGACTTTTTATTTTATCCTAAGGAAAGGTTAAAAAGCACAGCAAAAAACCTTTTGAGATGTTTTCTTGGGTTCGGGGAGTAGATTATAGAAAGGGAAGGTATTAGCACCCTTTCTATCCATGGTTATCCATGGGCTCTTAGTTACTTGCTTAGATCAACTTGCCTTTTGTTTTCAATTGTTTTAAATGGTGCTTGAGTGTGAGTGGGTTTGAAAATATTTTGAAAAGAGGCCAATGTGGTGGCAACCTTTGTAATGATCCATGTGGGGATGTATACAAAGATGTATGTCTTTTGAAAAGATTTTCATTTGTTTTTGAAAGTTGTTTTGAAAGTGTAGTGTTGTGTGGTTTTGAAATTAGGCAAGTGTTTTGTTTTGCAAGTTTGATTCAAGTAACTAAGAGGTTCTCTACTCCTAAATTTTTCAAAAGATTATTGTTATGTTTTAACGCTTTTAACAAGTTTGTTCCACCATTGAATTTGGTGGACAACCTTATGTTAGGATGTGAAAGGGACAGGCGCGGGTCATCGTTTAGACCATAATTGCAACGGTGTTAAATGTCTTTGGGCAATTTTCTTTAAGGGACTTGATCATTCGTTTTTGTTTGTTTTGAAAGGTTTTTATCGAGGGACTATGATCATTCAAATTGTTTGCTTTGCCCAAAGAAGTTCAACATACAATATGGCCCATTTATTTGAAGGCAACAAATGGAATACCCTAGGGGTGCAAGTGTGATTTGTGTGTCCATTTTCATGCTTGTTTATCTTGAGATTAGGTCATAACTATTTTTTATCGTTTTTCGCATGCAAACCCTAATTCTAACATGGCATAATTAGAAAGCGTATAAAGTGCGAAAATAAATTTACTAAGCTATTACAAAACCAAATATGGGAAGGGGGGTACAAATGTTCAAATGGGGATATTGACAAATAATTTAAATCTAAATTATTACATCATTTTTGAATATTTGCAAGGTAAATAAACTGCACAATTAAATGGAAATTAAATAAATATGTGAAATGCAAAAAAGAAAGTTTTTATATGTATGAGAAAAGTATGGTTTATGTAAAATAAAATAAAAAAATAAAAGGTATTATTTTGAGTATTTTTAACTTTTAGGGCAAAAAACCCTAATTTTAATGAAAATGGATATTAATTGATTTAATACAAACATTTATTTATTATTTACAAAAATAAAAATGAAATGAAGTATATTATAAAAAAAAAGTATTTTTTGTATCAAATATTAATAAAATGAAAAATTCAAGTATTTTCATATTTTAACTTAAATATATTAATAAACATATATATATATATATATATAGTTCTTAAATATGCATTATGTGCAAAATATTTAATATTTAATAAAAAAAGTATTTTTTTTTATATGGAATATTTTCAGAAGGTAAAATAAATAATAAAAATGTATTTACACTATTTTTATATTTATTCTAATAATAGTATATATATATATAATGTTTATGTATAAACAAAGAAAATAAACAAATAAATATGCAATAAATACAAAAAATGATGGAAAAAATATTTTCAAAATTTTAATGTGCTGGGAAAAAATAAACAAGTCAAACAAAAAAGGAAAAAGTCAAAAATGTTAAAAAATGAACAAATGGGCTCAGGGGGGTGAGAAAATGGAAATAGGGTGCAAAAAGAAGAAACCACACAGGCCCAGCCCATGTAGCTTCATCTTCAACCTCAGAACACTTCCTTGTTCAAAAACACGCGTTTTCTAACTTCTCATTCCTTGATCTTTTGCCAAATCTTCCAACATGAAACCTGTAGAGCTTGAAACCACGGTTCTAGACATATAAAGAAGTCAAGCTAACTCTCAGAAATGAGAGAGAATTTCTTCTCTCC